CCCACACCCACACCCACACCCACACCCACACCCACCCACACCCACACCCTAATTGATCAAATCGGGCAGAGTCTATCGGTTAATACAGCGGCTGCAGGTCTTTTCATTGATTTTAAAGCTGCTTTTAACCAGCTTTGGTTTAATGGTTTGATGTTGAAATTATATCGACTAGATTGTCCAAAATATCTAATAGCTTGGTTGTGGATCTGTTTATCTGGAAGATCAGCTTATATAGCTATGAATGGATCAACATCTAGCACTTTTTCTTTATTCAAGGGAGTTCCTCAAGGATCCTGTGTAGGACCTGTTATCTTCATTGTATATCATTACGATGTTTTAAACAGTATATCATTGTTGCACTGGAAACACCTTTTTGCAGATGATCTTGCTGTTCTGATATCTTCATCTGCTAACTGGTCCTCCAAGACTCTTATACCCAAGCTAATCAAACAAATCAAGGATGTTGTTGTTTCATTAATTTCATATTCATTAATGTGGAAACAACCGATTAACTTCCAAAAAACTTTCTGGGTATTGTTTCATTGTCAAGTTGCTCCTATCATCCCTTCTTATATCGATTGTAATGGACATTTAATATCTCATTGTGATAAGATTAAATATCTTGGAACCATTCTTGACAGTAAATTGTCATTTACTTCTCATCTCAATTATATTGAATCTAAAATTCGTAAGAATTCCACAGTATTTAAATATTTAACTTCTAGTCGAATGTTAAGTGAAGCTGTAACTTATCGATTATATAATGCTTATATAAGACCCTACTACCGATCGTTACTTAATATATATCCAATTCTATCAAAGTCTAAACAAAATCATCTTGAAGCGTTAAATAGGCAAACGTTTAGATTTATTCATTATTGGTATGATGCAACAAATGATGAAATTTCACAGCTACCGAAATATAAATCTATTGATAATCTCACACAATTACATTGGTCTAAGATTATCAAGACCATTATTACAACAAATCCATCGGTGTTGTCTGATTTTATTCAGCATAAAATGTACATGTTATACATGTACGAGTATTATAATAATCCTATTCTCTTAAAGGAAAAAAGAGAAATAGTAAATAAGGGAAGAACAAGTAAGAAAATTCTAAATTTATTTCAAAACAAAAGATATTCCTTATTCGATTATATTTTGTGTTTCTGAGTGCTTCCAAATGTATTATTGTTGTAATCATAAAAGTTTTTTTTTTGTGTATTTCCATCTCTGCAGTATTTCTTTATATCGTTCGCTTTCTTTTTCTTTTCTGTATACGCCTCTTTTCTACGAAATTCAACAATTAATTATATACTTTTTTTTTGGCATCTTATGTCTTTTGTGGCTTAATTATCTTGTTTATTTTTATATTCTAATGTGTATTCTTCGTCCCAGTATAATATGTAAGATTTTCTTTTTTTTTATCACAGGGGCGAAGTTCGTCCATGACAACGAAGGTGAGGATATCCCACACACTTCATATTTGAATAAAGCAATATTATATATATATATATATCTCTACTAGATGCGAAAAATGATTGTTTTTATTAAGATGGAATGAAAACTAAAGAAAAACTATCTATACCTTCACTAGATGAAAAAAAATGATTTTTCTGATTAAAATGCAATAAAACTAGAAGAATCTTAACTCAATCTTTACCATATAAAAAATGATTATTTTTATTAAGATGGAAAATAATGAAAGGAAAACTAACTCTAATTATACTAGATGAAAAAAATGATTTTTCTGATTAAGATGAAATAAAACTAAAGAAACACTAACTTTATCTCTATTGAATAAAAAACAAAATGACTACTTGTATTAAAATCGAATAAAACTACAGGTAAGCTAACCCTATTTCTACTGGATAAAATAAATGACTACTTCTGTGACGATAGATTAAAAGCAAAAGAAAACTAATGGCAAAGTAAACTAATTCGTCACTCATTTTATTTAGTTTTATTCAAAAACAATATTGAAGCTTTCCACCTATATACAAGCTCATTATCAACAAAAAATGATGGAAAGTGAAAAATATGTACAAAATTGTTCTTTTCCTTTGTTCTGCTATGACCATTGATAAACATTACAATGAAAGGAAGAGATAATATTTCGATCACACTGCAATGTTTATCAATAGTCAGAACAGAATAAGGGAAAAGATAGAACAATTTTGTACATATTTTTTACTTTCCATCATTTTGTGTTGATAATGACCTTGTGTATAGGGGGAAAGCTTCACTCTTGTTTTTGAATAAAACTAAATAAAATGATTGACGAATTAGTATACTCTGCCATTAGTGTATTTTCTTATATCTCGTCCAATAATATAAATAAAAGAAAACTAACTCTAACCGTATTAGATGAAAAAATGACCATTACTATTAAAGTCGAATAAAATTAGAAGAACACTAATTCTATGTCTATTAGGTGGAAAACATGACTATTTCTATTAAGATGGAAAAAAATCAAAGGAAAACTAACTCTATCTCTACTAAGATGAAATAAAACTAAAGAAACACTAATTTATCTCTACCGAATGAAAAAAATGATTATTTCTGTTAAAATTGAATAAAACTAAACGAATTTTTAAAAAAATGATTTTTTAAATTAGTATCGAAAATAATCGAAAGGACACTAATTCTCTCTTTACTAGATAAAAGAAATGATTGTTTCTATTAAGATGTAATAAAGCTAAATGGACAATACAATACAAATTGTGGGAAAAGCTTATTAAATTCATCAAAGAGAAGAATTGTTGTATATTCGTTTGCCGAACGATTCTGAATTTTTCTAGAATCCTTCTTATTGTTGGACATTGGTTGTGTCTCTTTTTATTGTTTTTGTCAGCATGTTGAAAATAAGACTGTCATGATATCGATAGCTAAAAGTTCAACGTTGAAAACAGATGTTGATAAAAGAACTAAGAGTTATGATGATAATTTTTTATGCAGAAAACAATAAGCAAAAAAATTTAATATATTTGAGAACACTGACGAATCCATTTGGAACTAATCAATATTCTTTCTCAATATAACGGGATAATTTTATGTGGGTTATGAAACGGACGAGAAGGTGTTCTGTATTTTTAAAACTGATTTTTGAATTCACGAGAAAGCATTCGACAATTAGGAGAACGACAGAGAACGCGTTGTTTTCTCCCTAAGAATGATGTCGAATTGTCTGGAACGCGTTCATCAGTTCGAAGAATCCATTTTCAAGTATTTCTTGAGAAGGTCAAAGAAAGTATTCTCATTTTCATGGAATCCGATCCTGACCGTTCCAAAAATGAACGGTTCAGAAAGCTTTCTCTTCAGATGAAGAACGATTTTGAACCGAGAAGAAACCATCTTATAAAAACATGGAACGACAAAGAATGCGTTCCTTCAGATGCATAACTCATTCTTGTCGCTCATGAACGCATTCGCCAAACTATAGAACGCGTTCTTCATGAGAAAGGTAACTTTCCATGTTTTGCTGAACGCGTTCACTTCCGTTTTTTTCCATGATTATTTTTCACTGGGATACTGTCACTTAGCCATGTCTAGAACATTTTCGATGTTTTTAGTCAAATTTATATTTTTCCTACTTTTATATGGTCGAGATTTTTTCTTTCGTCATAATTGTTTTCGCCTTTTTTTGCGTGTCGACATTTTCGTTTTCGCTATTCTTCCGTTCGCTATTTTTTTCTTTCGGCTATTTTGATACATACTCTCATCCCTATATGATTGTAGACTATTGTTGACAATTCTATTCTTGACAAAACATCACCATTCACTTATGAACAAACTTGACGGTGATCAAAGGTCACAATATTCACTATCGAGCTGTTTAATATTGTCTTTATCGACGACGTCAGGTGTGATATACAATGAACATACATATATGTATAAAAGGTTGTATTCGAAACATTTTGTCATTCACATATCATAATTGAACATGAACCATTTAACTGTTAATATTCTCGATCTATGTGATGAGATGTTACTTTCTATTTTCAATAAACTAAATAATATTGATGTATTATATTCACTCATAGACGTCGATAAAAAACTCGATAGATTGGCTCGAGATATTACTTTTACACAATCTATTGATTTAGTAACAATATCATCAAATGAACATAATTTTCTAAGGAACAATTCAATACTTGATCGATTTTGTGTTGATATTTTGCCTCGAATTCAACATAATATTGAATGTCTTGCTCTTGATTCATTGTCAATAGATCGTGTTCTTCATATTGGAAACTATTCTAAACTCCATAAACTTACTCTTGTTAATCTTCCATTTCAAATGGCATCTCGTATTTTCAATGGTATGTTCTCATTTTTTTAGAACAGAAAATCGAGTCAGTTAATTAATTTATTGTATATATTTAGAGAAGTCATCATTCATTGACATCTTTAAACATCAAATTTCACATCTTATTGTGATGATTATTGAAGACAACATAGCTGAACATACACGAAAGGCGTCTACAGATGTCTTTACCACTATTTTTATAATGTTTACGAATTTAAATTATCTTCATTATGGTTGGAATGGTGAGTGTCTGGGTTCGCCAAGATCACTTGTTGATACACTATCTCCAACATGTCCATCAAACATTGTTCATTTGAATGTTAGGGTGAACAGTTTTAATGATTGTCTTTGTTTGCTTGATGGATGTCTTAGTCAATTACATACATTTATTGTGGAAGTTGATAACATTAATTATACATCAATGACTATCAATAATACGGTAAAATACTTTAAATCGCGGAGATATGCTTTCATGTCAACTTTTGGATACAGTGCTAAGTTACTTTTATGGTAAAGAGTAGATTACTAAAAATATGAATAAATTTAAAAACAAGAGGTTCATATGACAATATCAGTATAAAATAAACATCATCAAAGATAATATATGATTTAACAAAAAGATGAGAACTATAGTATTAAATAATCTCTTATTGATTTTGTTTGTTAGAATAATTTTTTTATTTAATGTGAAATCGGTAGCTATAAACTTTTTTTCAATGAATTTGAGTTTTGTTAGAAAAAGTCAAAAAATAAGTATATTAGGAAAAAACATAGTGAGCTTACAGAAATATTTGATTATGAGCCTTTTTCGTAGTGTCTGAGTTTAATGTTGTCGAATATCGTCTTCAGTTTCGTCCAAGAGTTTGTTCATATATAGATCAAATAGTTTCATAAAGAAAAATAACTTGATCAATGATAGTATGAGAGTAAGTTAGTTTGATTTTTCGCTATTTTGAAATCGTTTTTGTACGAAAAAAAAGATTATATCATTGTCGATAGTGTAAAATACTTCCCATTCTATTATTATTATTATTATTATTATTATTATAGATATTGGAAATACTTATCAGATTACGAAGTGAAGTATTGTATGATAAGAAAATATTTTTCTAATAATTAAACAAATGAAACTTTAATATTATTATAAATGATTTTAGACATCAGAATCTCTTTTCAATCTTTCATCAGTTTTCTATGAAAGGTTAAAGAAACATTTGTTAAATGAGTATATCCTATCATTTAAAGTCATGTATCAATATATTTGATAATTGATGTATAACAGAGAGTATGACTTAGGTCTCGAGTATTTAATTACCGAGTGATTAGATCTATTCTTGTTTAAGTAATCAATTTGAAAACATTTAATATTTATGTTAATTATTTTTAGAAAACTGTATCTAATCTAAAATGTTTCTCGTTGTTTTCATTTCGTCGCACAATTGAATATGATAGTCATATTGTACCATTCATTCGTCGAATGTCACAATTAGAAAAACTTACATTATCTCTTATTGTTTATGGTCGAACTTCATTTATTGATGGTACTCATCTGGTTAATGATATTCTTAGTAAAATGTCACATCTACATACATTTATCTTTAACATTATTACCCAAAATGTCATAATGGCCGAAGAATTTTTACCAGCACCTGATGATGTTCAACGTGAACTCATCCAAAGAGGATATAATGTTAACTGTTATACTGACTATAATGTACTTAACAATGGTCAATGCCATATTTATTCACTTCCATTCATTATGGAGTGCATGCATATACATTCTAGCAAATTTCTTGGTGGTTTATTCCTGACTGTTCGTCACTTACATATGCGAAATTTTGTTCATCCGTTTGAACATGATTTTTTTGCTCGAATTTCTCAAGCTTTTCCATTACTAAATAAATTGACAATATATAATATAAGTGGACAAAAGAAGAAGTTAACAAATTTAAAAGATGAACATAAACAAACATGGTCGATTATTGAGTTTTCTCACCTTATGACGCTTCATCTGTCTATGTCTGATATGGATTATGTGGAAGAATTTCTTTTCGATTTCAACACACGTCTACCTTGTCTTAACACATTATATATCAAATATAAACATTTGGTGATGATAACAGAAAATTTTACAAAGAATGCTGCTCGTATTAATTGTTCAAAATTGGAACATATTATCTTTGATTCAAAACCAACGACATATCCAGAAAACTTCTACCTATATTTTCCTTTGTTATAAATATATTTTCTTCTCTATCCAGTTGTTATATTTTGTTTATATATCAATAAAGAAAAAGAAATGAAAGTTATCTTGATATAGCTCTAATTATACGAATTTAATGTTGAGTATTTATCGTCAACATAGACATCAGTCGTGCAGAACCTACCCCTGTACCGGGATGGCCGTCAGGGGAAATTTTCGAAGATTTAGTGATACTTGAGAAAACTTTTTGATATTTCCTTTGTAGAGAAATTTTGAAATTTTTGAAATGAATCTCGGTTTGTCTAAGTATACATCGATAAGATCTTCTATTGGTCTTTTTCTTTTCTTCTCATTAAACTTCTGAAAGAGTCATCCGCATCTTTATTGTAGTGTCAATATCGCCTACCTTTGTTTATGTTTCTCATATATATTGCAATCTCTTTCTCTCTGTCCCTTTGTGCCTATTCATAATACAACACGTACTAATTGTATTCTCCTCTTTTCTTCTTTCTGCATTTTTTCTAATAGAATGTCACTATTTGACATTCTTCTCTGCTACTATGTACAGTGGCTATTGCTTGTGGATATGCGTACAGAATCGCTATGATGACTAATTTATAGCCATTATTAAGGGAATCGAACAATTTTTTGTTGCTCCGAGTTCAGTTCAACTTGAATTTACTGTTGAAAAATTAATTCGAGTCCCACTCGATTCGATTTCCACTGAATTCGACTTCATTTTTAGAAAAGTAGTTCGAGTTTGGTTCAATTCAAGTAGTCCTAATCCTTCTATCAAGAGTATGTGATAGAAGGAAACTTGATTCCGGAACGACAAGAATGTTATTTTAGAGTTTATGTCAATGTGGGTGAACACTAATTCATATAGTTGTGGACTAAAAGAAACTTTTTAGTAAGTTTGCAAACTTGTTTCTCTTGGTTCAGTTAGTTTAAATCGTTTACGAAAAGTACAAGTATCAAGGTTACCTGAATCAAACGAGATTGAATAATAGTATTGTTTTTTTTTAATGTGTATTTGCAATGTATTAAATAGTAGTAGTATTTTTTTGAATAAATATTTTAAACGAGAAAACTCGTTATTTAATTGACTTTTGTAGTGGGGGATATTTTTCACAAAAATTTTATCGTCTGGAATTTTTTTTTATTTCACTGGTAGATTCTGTACTACCGATAGACATATGGTGAAATATTTTCTTGATGAATCAGAATGTGATCCAAATGAGTATGATTAAGATAGTCGAACATTATTTCATTATGCTATTAATGGTGGTTCACTTGATGTTGTTCAATTATTATTAGAGTATGGAGCGAAAAATATTCTTCAAAATGCGTTAACTCCATTCATGTGGGCTGTATTAGAAGTAAGAGAAGATTTAGTTGATGCTTTTGAAAAATTATTGTTCGTCAGACTTAGAATGGGTTGAAGAAAAAAGAAAGTAGAAGTGATAGATTTCTAAATGTCTTTGTTCTACGAATATGTTTCTCTTGTATTAGGATAAAGAAGTCCAATAAAAACTGTATATATCGCTGGTGAAAATAAACGAATTTAACTATGCACAATGAAATATGTGGTGACTAGTGAACTGTATCGGATTTTTTTCGGGTTTTGAGTAAACAGTAAATAAAAACTTTACATCAAGATCAAACTCTTTTTCGAGATGTGAATTCGATAGTGAAATCTTTTAGCTGTCGAATAATGCATTTGGAACTGAAAAACATTTTATTCCTGCAGTTGTATGCAGAAAACCATCGCAAAAAAATCGGAATCGGGTTTAAATCGGATTTCGATTTTTTTCGTATATTTTCCTTCTCTAATTCCATAGATTGATTATTTTTCGCGAAACAAAGTACATCATTTGGAAGCTGAAGGACTTCTCTATCGAACTTACATTTCAAAAAAGAGTTTGATATTGGTGTAAAGTTTTTGTTTACTGTTTACTCGAACTCGAAAAAAACCCGATGCAGTTCACTAGTGGTGACAAAAGTCTTATTCTGTCTTTTTTTTCTTCTCGTGTCTTTTTATTTTACTCTCTTTTATTATATACATTTTTCGTTTCATCTTCTGCGCTATATTAGATAGCTTTTGTTAATCTTTCTTCACTTTTCCATTCTTCTCGTTTTACATATGTAGGATTATCTCATAATAACATACGGTATAAGTATACTCGTAAAAGTACATTGGTCAGAGCAATAAAAATCAATGAAAAAATTCGATCCTTCGTTTTTGCGAAGAATATATTAAATACAATGTATTTTACTCGCGTTGAAAAGAATAATTTTAAATTATTCATCAAGAACTTGTGGTCGAAAGAATAGAATGTTATAGTAACGAACAGCTATCAATATTTAGATAAAAATAATTTAATAGAATGTCCTATTTTTCTTTTTCTTTGTATTACTTAACGCATGAGACTTTTTCATATTGAGACTTATATATGATGATTTATAAAAGACATGTTTTTGTAACTAATAATGGGAAATGATACACATTCAATGGTATAGTAATATATATCTGATAATATCGTAATTGTTCCAATTAGTTAATAAACTCAGATCTTATTCCCATAGTTAGATATCGAAAATAATTTATTTGCACAAGTATAAATTTATTGCTGTTAGTGAAACTATATCTCATATTTTTCTTTTTTTCGTCATACATTAATGTTTTAGTGACAAGGACACTTTAATTAAATATATCGATAAATGAACATGTAAAAGTTAGTTTCTAGCAAGTACTATTCAATATATTTTTTTAGAGTTTATTGAATAAAGGAACATCTCAATCTTTCATTATAAAAGAGTTAAAAGAGAAATTACATGAACGATACTCTCTTTCAATATAAAATCATGAATGTTCTAGACCAGCGCTCCGCAGAACGCGGGACGATAAAATTTAAAAGCATAGCGAAATTGGACGGGACTGAATTGGTCGTCCGCGGGACAGAATGGGACGGAACACGATCAATTTCTTTTCCCGTCCCGCCAACCAACTGTATAGGGTGCGGCTGTGACTGTGACTGTCTCGAGTTCTTGTTTAAACTCACGCTCACATCTTACAGGCACACCCACACCCTTTATTGATCGTTTTCAAAAATAAAGAAAATGTAAAATCACAGAAGACATAATTACGTTGTTTTATTAGATACTCAGATGCATATAAATAATATAATCATAAAGTTTTTCTTTTCATTCATCGAAATCGTGA